GTAGCATGCAGTAAAGAAAAAAAGGCACTGGCACACACAGAGCTCGTGTGTTTAGCATTTCTCGATCTTCAGAGTCAGTACTTGGGTAAACTCTCTCTTGCATCCTCCAATTTGGTGAGAACCCACTGAAAATAAATAATGACCCAAAGTTAGAACTAATTATTTTCACTAGTCGTGTATCCCGACTGAAAGGAAATATCAGCTTGAGTCCAAATTGCAAACTTACTTTGGCTATCTCTGGAGTTTTGAAGTTTATTATCTTCCCAAACTCTTTGGCATGAAAGACTGACTTCACTCTCTCCTGCAGTGGAAGGCGAGGTTCAGTGCAGAAGTAATAATAATAATAATAATAATAATAATAATAATGAAAAATTTGGGTAGTAAATAATGGTAACATCTTTGTTGTTTGTTTGTTTTTACCTTGGCCTCAATGCGAAGTCGGCGGTCCTCTATAATGGTTGGATCCTTGGTGAACTCTTCAAACAGATACTGCCACTCACAGGTCAGCTGACCAAAAGTGCCTTTGGTCACAAAAAATATTCCCCTGGGAAAAAAAAAGATGAGTGTTTAAAAGGAATGAATAAAGAAAAATTTAAACTTTATATTTCAGTTTCTTTATCCCCAAAACAATGATTTCCAGTCATAGGCATTAAAAAAGTAAAAAGACATAAGATGAAGCCAACATGCGAGTGCCTTAAACCTTAATCTGAATGCCACCAGATGGCGATACCTGTGTGGTTGTAAAAAGACTTTTGGTCCTATCTTTGTGAAAACAGCTTCCTGTCTCGACTGTAAACATTTTCCAGCTCAGTTTGTGGGTCAATCATTCATTTTGGTTTAACTGAATTTAAAAAAAAAATGGATTTTTGAATAAAACTTCAATATACAGCTTACTATCTCGTTACATCCGTATTTGGGGCGGGATTTTTTTTTTTTTGGGGGGGGGGTTGTATTGTTTTGTTTTTTTAAACCAAGACAGCAGCAGTGGAAATGCTGATCTCCAGGATTCAAAACGGAGCTCCACAAAGCAACAGCTACATCCAAGTTTTATACAGTCTGTGTTACAGTGTGGGCTACGGCCCCCTGGTGGGCAACGAAGGTACTGTATGTCAGAAGTATGAACTCAAATCTTTACATTAGTTAGAATTCAATTTGAATGTAACGCTGTTAATAGAGAGTCAAGTACAAGAAGTACATCAGAACATTAAAACAAATGAATGAAAACAAAGGAAAGAATTTTCTTCACAGTTGATCTGAAAGTCTTGGTAGAAATACGCAAATACTATATAAACTTTTACAAAAATTTTAGCATCCAAACTGATTAGAAAAGAAAAAATTATGCATCATTTGAACCATATCTCAGCTCTTGGTCATTATCTCAAGTAAAACACTTTCTTGAACAGAAGAAAACAAACAAAAAAGGGTAAAGAAACCCCCCCAAAAAAACCACTCACCTCTTGGTGATCATGAGGAAGTCAGATTCATTGACTTTAGCATGAGCAAAGTACCTGTAGCTGGCAAAACGTCCATTCTCAATTTTCTAAAAAAAGAAAGAGACTAGAAAAATATCTGTCCAAACAACAACATTGAAAAATACGTCACTGTCTGTCAAAAACTGTATATAAAAGTAAAGGAAGCATGAGCTACCACAGCAAAAACAGTGAATCAGTATCTGCACAATAGTTTCCCTGTAACGAGATTGGAACATGTTGTGGGATTCAGATGCAGGACAGGATGAAACAAAGACGATGGCAGGTGGAAGTTTGAAATGCAAAGACTTTATTAAGAACAAAATATCAGTGAAAGGTTCCAAGTAATGACAAAAAAAACATAACAATGAAGGAAAAAAGTGTGATTATGATGACTTAAAGATGAACACTAATAAGTAAACTAATAAGAAAATGCCTGGTCCACAACAATGGCTTTTTAAAAAAAAAAAAGCATAAACATTGCACTGTTAACATGCAGCTCTCAGATGACATTTCAGGATATTTAATTGAGAGACCTTTACAACTGCTAGGACTGTGTTTTAGTTTGGACAAGAGGACACAGACTTTCAGACTTTAGTTTTCTGATTAGATCATACGAGTCAGCATGTGTGACCTTCACACAAACCTTCTCCAGCAGGAAACAAATGCATCAACCTTAATCATGAATGGTTAATGGTCATGTGATACGAGGTTTACAGCCAAGTTGGACTTGGCTGAAAAATGGTGGCTGGAATCATTTTTAGTTTGTTGTTGTGGAGCAGGGAAAAAACAAAACAAACAAAAAAAGGGTGATGAAAAATAAAAAAAAACACAGTTAACAACAAAATATAAAAAATAATAAAATCTTCTAAACCAGTGACACCAGTAATGAAAGTCCCTACTTTGGTTCACTTTAATCTAACCAAATATGATCTCCAAACTTTGAGACAACCCTCCAGCACAGACTACACACAAGACACCAACTCTATAGCTTTCACTTCTGTCACTGCTAGCTGTTTTCACTCATCTCCCTTATCCTCTGAGCCAGATCTACGCCATTCACTGTACGCCACTTGCCTCTGCGGACATGACAGGAGAAAAGTGTGGAGGGTTAGATCAGACGGAAGGTGCGAATCTTTCTGCTGATAAGGCGACTTCAAGGTGAGAACCAAGGGAAAGTCTGAGTGACCTATCAGCAGTGTTCAAATCTGCAGTTTCAGACTTTAAAAGTATGGAGAGTAATATGTCTTAAAAGTGTTACAAATGCGTATGGTATGATCTACAAGTGTAAACTAAGAACTCACACAGGAAGTAGAGATGTCCTAGTTTTCCAATGGGACTTGAACACAGTGCAAAGTGCACTAAAGGCTTTGCAGGTAAGTGAAAGGTTTTTTTTGTGTAGTTTCAGACATTTGTACGGACAGAAAGTTTTTTAAAAGAGAAAATGATCAGATTTGTGAAGCTGAACTTAAAAAAAAAAAAATGTGTCTGTAAATGAAACTAATTTAACTTGAGGCCAAATTACTTTGTATGTGTGTGAACTGAAGCACGCATTTGTGAGTCATCGAAAGTTTCACACAATAGAAGTCATTTACAAACAATTTTAAAATATTATATCTGACCTGAAAAGACTAACAAGCATTAAATGCTCTTGGATCTATAAAAATGTAAATGGCTGTAAACTGGATCACAAAGCCCTAATGCAATGGCTTCCCTCCCAGCTTAGACTGTGATAAGCATTCCCTCTTCTCTCAAAGACACAAGGAAACATTTGGGAACAATCAGGAACACTGTGTTGAAGGCTTTTTAACAAAAGCATAAACATAAAACTGAAGAACCTACTCTGATTTATAGAACTATTACTCTATATGTCCTGGTCCTAATTTAAGCTGAAGGAACAACTCAGTTACAAACACATTACTACACACACGCAAACCTAAGCTGGTGAGACAGAAAGGTGACAAACTGAAGAAAGTCTTGAATGAAGATGAAGTTAGAAACACAAAGATGAGACAGTCAACATGGAGCAGACTGGCAATGATGTGAATCATATGACAAGATTTAAAACTCTTTTTTCAGCTTTCAATTTTGCAGAATCTTTATAAAAAAGCACCAATTTGTTCACTGAAGTTATCTGGCCTCTCTTGTAGGCTGCTTTAATTTATCACCTTTCTGTAAATTTTAGGGAAATTAGGATTTTTACGATTAAACACAATGTGAAACTTCAACCCACTCTATCCAACTCACAGCTAGACAACGTCAACAAAAGGTTAGATAAATATCAGACCTGAAACACATGTAAGCTGCTCTGAAATGTGAAAATATGGAAAACATGATATATTTGGATTATATGCAGACATTCTGTTGATTTCTGGTGTGAAATACAGCAAATATAATCTTTTTTTTAATTTCCTGTACCCTTTTATTCTTCCTTGCAGATTACAAGATTTAACCAATGCCGCTTCCTTTTAACCATAACTTAGTGATATAAAAAAAAGAGACATTTTTAATTCTATCCATCTGTAGTGTTCACATTTGTAACAAAGTTGCTGATAAAGGTTCCTTCTGAAAACTTGCATGGACATCCTCATATGCATTAATGATGCACATGGACCAGCCTCAGTTTGTAAGCTATTCTGCAGTCTGGCAGCTTAACCATCGTGTTGAACAGATTTGTCTCTGATTGCTTTCCTGGTTGTCAGTCTTGCATTGACCTCTCATTTCTTAATGGCATCTGAACACTGGGAACACGGTAGCTGAAACCTTTCTACCATTAATGAAGTATCACTTAGAATCAATATCGCATCCTCTGCCAGAAGAAGAGTTTTTCACAACACTGACGAATGACTCACTCAAGACATAAAAGTGAATCAAGTGGGAATGAGGGGCTGCTCATTTTTTACCCACTGGATTGTATTGACTTCTTTTTACTTCAAAAATTAAACAAATATGTAATTTGTCCAAAGACTGCCAAACCTATTCCTACAGGAGTAGTAAAACTTCCCCAAACAACAAAGGCAACCATTTAGGGCAGGGGTCAGCAACCTTTAAGACCCAAAGAGCCATTTGGACCCGGTTTCCACTTGGGCTTTTGGAGCCTTGACCTGACTTTTAAAAAAAATAATTGGAAAAAAGCACTATGCTGCTGAAAGATGAAAAGTAGATAATTACAAAATTCCGCCTAAATATGTATTTTACCTGGTTAATGTGTGTGGCGGGGCGTGGTCTGCAGCGCCGCTGCAGGGGAGGCGGACGCACCTGAGCAGCACCCGCAATCACGCCTCGCCGCCTTAACGTCTGTGCTATCTATGCTGTTGTTGGTGTGTGTCGGGCTGTGAGCTGAAAAGCTACAGCCGGCTGTATGCGTACAGCAACCGTGTGTGAAAAGGGGTCAAGAAAGAGATGCTGAAAAGCGTGTTCATGGAAACATCATCGGGTCTGCCGTGGTATGTTTACAATGGGACTTCTGCTCCTGAACCTCTACGCACAGCGTCTGCAAATCGGGGCTGTACGAAGTCACTTTCATCTTTACGCAGGACTGTAAGCTGTCATCTGTGAGGCGTGAGCAGTGTTTGTTTTTAACATAGTTCACGGTGGAGCTGCTGACATAATCTGGATCCGAAGATCCATAATTGGCCTCGGTTGAAAGTCTCAATAAATGAATGGTGTTTCGGCGGGTACACCAGCTTCCGCGAGTGTGACGCTTATTTTAAGCGATGAAAAAAATAATAGTATATAATTTTATTTTTATATTTCATTATTACAATAATCTTCCGATTTAGAACTACAAGTTAAAAAAGAACTAACATAAATAAAATACACTTCAGCTAAATACTTCTAATTTATTTTCCCAAACCACACGGAGCCGCACTATAAGGACTAAAGAGCCGCGTGCGGCTCCGGAGCCACAGGTTGCCGACCCCTGATTTAGGGCATCCAACACAGCTAAGAAAATCAGTCAAATAAGTTTGAAATGCAAAGATAATGACACCACATCACAGTAAAGATAAAACAACTTTAAAAATTAAATGACATGAATGCAATATTGTTAACAGAGTTTTCCATCTTTGTAAAAACTGGGAATGACTGTAAAAAGGTGATGATGGAGAGGGGTTTTTGTCTTACCTGAAGCATCTGACTGCCGAGGCCTTCCAGCTCCTTATATGGTCGTATGACACCATCCTCGTGGATGAAGCGAGGAGGACGTAGAGACTGAACATCTTGTGAAGTCTCTGCTGCCCTATATCGAGATATTTGCATTTGGAAACGCACACCTTCACACAACTCAGGGCATAAACAAATTCAAACAGGACCTATCTGATTACACACTGATGTGGCAAGTGCACAATCACATAGCACAGACAGAAATAACTGTACCTCTTGATCCCTTGGAAAGTGCTGCTGGCCATGTCAATAATGCCTCCTGTTGGTCGAGCTACTGCACCAACCAAACCTTTTCCAACACCTTTAAAAAAGCCCGCTGCCCCCTCTTTCTGGGCCCCTGCATAATAACACAAACACTGCAGCTTAAGTTCAAAGATCTTCACGGCCAAATGCCAGAGTCAACTGTTCAATGGAAACACACTAACAGAACACGTAGTTTTTTTATGCCCTTATTTTATTGGACTAACATGTTTATACTTGTGGTCAGACTCATCTTACCTTTAATAGGTTTGGTAACGATCCCTGTGATCCCACTGACAAATCCCTGTGGGAAAAGGAAGATAACACTGCAGAATAAATGACTCATTACAGCCGTGCATTTTCTTTCAGACTAGTTTGCAGTGTTGTTGTTGCTAGTCTTACTACTTCCTACATCCTGCATTAACTGCGTGTTTCCTGCTGATAAACAGAGAGGAGCAACTTAAAAACCAAACAGTTTTACATACAGACACCAGTCCTTTTCCACCCCTGGTCAGCCCCTCTCTCAGACCGCTGGGCTGTTTGTTCATAGCTTCTCGTCTCTTCTGCTGGTACTCTTCATCCATTGTCATCGCTGCGACACCCTTTGCCATGGCACCTGTTATCCTGGAGGCTGCACCTGCAATACCGCCTGAACAACAAACATGATTCGTTACCTGAGAATATTTTTTAATATATCTTAAACGTTCATGTCAAAATTGTGTCAGTGAAAATCTGAAATCTTAAGGGCTCCAACATGGTGCTAAAAAGTCTCAGATGTGTAATGAAACAGCCACAGTTCACTGTTAAAGGCAATATAATGCTGAAATTTAACAGATATAACACTATATTAAAAACACATGCAGTAAAACGACAAATGCTCAGTTATTACACTTTTCAAATTACAGCCCTATATAGCAGCCATGAACCCATCCCAGTCAATCAACGTGTATAATGACAGCAGATAAAGTGAGGACAGCGAGCAGGGCTGTACAAACTCTTTAACGACCTTCATTTCTTTTTATTTATTTTTTTCATGTGGTGATGAGCAATAATTCTCCGAACTTTATTACGTTTTTTGTTGGACATTTACTGCTTTTTAACTCATTTTCAATCTAGTTTCAGATTATTTTCACAGGATTATTTTTAACATCTGATAAGCTTCTTAACACTGATGTCAAGCATATAATGACACCAGGCTAAAGGGATGAATCATTATTGTTTCTACACATAATGGACACTTTCAATTAAATTTTATTTTTAACCAGTTTGTTACCAGCAGCCTCTCACAAAAAGCAAAAAGCAAATGATTTGCTCAATCTATGAAACATGGCGATGATAACACAGTTTGACAGACATAAAATAGCTGAAAACAAGTGAAGGAAACTGGACAGTTGGGAGGGACAAAGAAAGAAGTTGCAGGTCTAAAAGGCATGCCTCCACTTAGGCTGGACCTCAACGTAAGTGAAGCAGTGTGGGATCATCTTTACAGAAAACAGAACAAAAGACAACCAGCATCTAAGGAAGAGCTTTGAATGTCCTTCAAGAAGCCTGGAGAACTATTCCTGAAGACAAGGAAGCTGAGTAAGAGAGTTCAGGATGTGATAAAGAATTGTAAAAACTGTTTTTGCTGTACATACTGTATTTCAAAATACAAAGAAATGAGTGCAAGACTTTTGCACAACATTGTACTTAAATTTAAAATAAAAGATAAATTAAACATAATTAATTTTTGAATTAGAAATTCCAGTGATTATTTAGCAGTTTTGACCTGATCCTGTTGAGCTAAGGCTGACTCTGTATTACCCCTTTAACACCATTTCATGCTTACCTACAGCTCCTCCCACCAGCGCCTTAACCCCAAGAGCCATTCCTTCAACAAACTCCTCAGGGCCCTGGATGGCTCCCTAGAAGAAAAAAAAAAGAACAGTTATTGTGAATGTTAACCTGAATCCAATGTGGCCATATTTTCTAAATTACACAACGTAACTATTCAACAGGTTTTATAACGCACTTCAAAGCTAAAAGACCCAGTTGAACTTGTCAATAATTTTATTGGATATCATTACCTGATAGGGCTCATAAAAGAAAGCCTCCACCCCTTCTGACAATCCTCTGATCAGTCCAAATGGGTTTCCAAGAACATCGAGGCCCAGCACCAGCACATACATCTGCTTAATAGCCTTGAGATACACATAGGTGGAAAATCAAAATATCAAAACAAAAGAAGACAAGACAAATTGTCACTTGTCTGGTTTCATTGTGCTTGTATGTATTACCTGCTTAGAATAATGTCTGAGGACCTCCCACTGGAGCTGCTGAGTGGTGTAGAACTGGTAGGTCAATTCAAAAAAGGCCAGCCTGAAATAAATGTCACATTCAGCCAAGAAGCAGGGTTGGAATCACCAAGAACAAGTCACATGGAAGTAATTTAATGCTAATGGATGGCACATGCATGCTGTGTATTTGAGCCTTTTTCTGTATTCATACTTGAAGACAACATCCTGCACATCAGTGAGCGTCGCGCCGATACTCTTTAGCAACAGATTTAGCGACTGCACAGGGATCAGTTCCGAATCTCTCTTCTGCTTCAAGCCATCCTCTCCACCTGTGCTCAGAGAGAAACTCAGGTGCAGCTGACAAAAAGCACAAAAACATCAGCAGGCGTTACTATGGCAACAGAGAAATCGCAGAGATCAGTTCAGACACTATTTGTTTGACAGAAACTGCATTCGCACACACCTTAATGGGGGAAATGTGGAAGTACTCGTAGAGGCTGATGGGAGATTTGTCAGCAGCAGAGACATGGTTCAGTTCTGTCTTTATGTTCGTTATGTCCTTTTCAAACAGTTCCACCTGGAGCATCAGGAGAAAGGCACAACAGCTGTTGACTTAACTGAATTACTGACTAACTGAATAATCATAACGCATTCTGAACAGAAAGGTAACGTTGTGTGTGTCAATGCGTGTAGCCCACCTCCTGTTCTGCGCTCGTTATGCTGTCGTTCTCTAGGGAGAACAGCTCCAGGATGGCGTACAGGAAGCCCAGATCAAGTTTTAGATCCATCTCCTGAATTAAAACCACAAAGTACCTGAGGCGAACAGAAATCAGGACTTAGACGAGTACAAATGAGAGCAAATTTCAGGAGTTAAACTTTCGGTTAACAGAGAATTGTAAGATTTCAGCTCACCCAAATATATTATTGGTCTTAAAAAGGACAAATAATATATTTATTTGTCTGGTAGATCATAATCTACCAGGTACATCATGATCCTGCCCTCCATATACAATAACAATGAATATCAGCTAGAAAAACATAATTTGAGGAGACAGTGAGAAAAGAAAAGAAAAACAATTACTTGATGCGTGAGATGTCAGAGTGCCCCGCTGCTCGGGTAACAATGCTGATATCAGTTAGAGGTTTGGGTTCTGTGGAAAAATATGTACAGAGTATGATAATAAAGACGAAAGAGCTAAAATAGTCTATTATTGTAAATAAACAGATAACGAAAAACCTGCATTAACAGACCTGTCTCCATGGCGACAGACTTTGGCAGTTTCACGGGGTAAAAAACGTAAGGGAAGATGGCCCCAGGTAGCTGATTCTGGATCTGTAGAAGGAAAGGACACAGGTCTGTTTAGTGCACAGACCAAACAGAGCTACACAGCTACGAAAAGGCAATTAAGAAAAGCCTTTAGCTAACTTGCTTGATCTTCTTTTTCAATAATTATTGTAAATTGAATAAAAAATTTTCACCTGTATCCGGTGAACTTGGATACGATAGGAGCTCTGTCGTGGTGAAATGCTGTACTCCACCTTCACACCCGGCAAGAAGTGCCTCCTAAGAGGAGCATCACATGGCTTCATTATCTGCATGTCCTGGCCAGTGGGATTAAAGAACACCTGGGAGACAATGACAAAAAAATTCAACAGTAATGATAATTATCCCATTATCATGTGCAATTTCAAATTCAGTTTTATGAACGAGTTTACATGCTATGTGGATAATCTAAAACCAACTATTTTCATTTGCTTTTATCCACCATTTTCATATGACAGAATAAAAATAATTGCAATATTTAACCTGAAAGCCGTTTTCCAGATCGAAAATTGCCTTGTCTACGGCCCCAGATTCCTGGTAGTCTTTGAACTTGTCCTCCATAATTTCAGCTTCTTTTATGGTCAGAGGCTTCCATCGACTCTTCTTCTTAGGTTTGAATTCCCACACAACATCAGAGCTTAAATAAAAGAGGAAAGAAATGAAAGTCTCAGATTAGTTAAGCAAGAACACATAATTTATAGATAAAATTTATACACTCATTGGTCACTTTGTTAGGTACACCTGTTGAACTGCTCGTTAAACCAGCTATCTAATGTGTACATCAAAAGGCGCTTTTAAAAAAAATAAAAAAAATAAATTTTAGGAGTGTAGAGATGGTCATAATGACCTGCTGCATTTCACACCTAGCATCAAAATAAAAAACACAGGATTTAAGTGATTATTGTTGTCAGATGGTGCCACACTGCTGATCTACTTGGACTTTCCCACGAAACCATCTCTAGGTTTTTCAGAGAATGGTCTTGAAAAAACAAACAAACCAAAAAACAACTGAAAATATAAAATGTCTTGTTAATCCCAGAGGCAGGAGCAGAATGACCGACTCCTTCCACCTCATAAAAAGGCAGGAATAACTCCAATAAGCACTTGATTTAACCAAGATCTGCAGATGAACATTTCTGAGTGCAGAACAAGGCTTGAAACAGATGGGCTACATGGCACCTGCAAATTAGAGTTTACGTTAATTCTACTTTAACTATTTATTAAGCAAACACAAAAGCGCAGCACCTTGTGATCCCAATGAAGGCAACCTCTTGGTTGGTGCTGTTGTTCACCAGCGATAGGCCCACATGCCGTAGTGTCAGGATGATTTCCTGTTGAGCAACCTGCACCTTCTCATTGTCACAGAGCATCTTGAAGACCCGTCGCTCCTCAGTGAACAGCACAACACGCTGGAGACCTTAGAACAGATAAATAAAATAAATAACACACATTTCTTTTGTAACCCAAAGGAAAGTTGTTGTTCATTACCATTACAAAATGAATCAGGGATAAATAAAACCTTAGAAATGAGTCAGACTTGCAGTTCATAACGCCAACATCCTGCCAGAAAACTGTGTTTTTTAATATATATATATTTTTTAACTGTTCTAGAGATTATATTACTACAATATAGCAACAATTAAGCACTGGCAATAAACTGTGGAAACTATAAACATAATTTCAGTTTATTCAACTGCACAAAACAGCTGAGCATTTTAAGATCATTCAATTTACCTTCATAAAAGGAAATCACAAAAAGTTTGCCCTCCTTGTTTACGTCCTCTCGCAGGTCCTAAAAGACAAAGCGTATAAACTTCAGTATCTTTAATCTTTATTTAGATACTCTTCCATCGAAAGGAGCCAGCTGAGGTGGTTCGGGCATCTGACATGGATGCCTCCTGGGCGCCTCCTGGGCGAGGTGTTCCGGGCATGTCCCACCGAGAGGAGGCCCCGGGGCAGACCCAGGACACGCTGGAGAGATTATATCTCTCGGCTGGCCTGGGAACGCCTTGGTGTTCCCCCGGATAAGCTGGAGGAGGTGGCTGGGGAGAGGGAGGTCTGGGCTTCTCTGCTTAGGCTGCTGCCCCCGGGACCCGGCCCCGGATAAAGCGGAAGAAGATGGATGGATGGATGATCCAGATTTACATGATCTGTATCTATACAGTTTTAAACTAAAGGTAATCAAATTTATGAGCGATTCATCACCACCAATAACATATTTACAGTTATTAACAATGAATTTGCAAAGGTGATACTACTTTACTACTTTTTATTATCTATATATATTCACAGGTTACTGTAAGGTGTGAAGTACATGAATAGGTGCAAAAAGTCTCAGCAGTCACAGGGTATCTAAAAACCAGCAGGTTCACATTCAGTAAGCTCATAATTACCTGCTTTCGCAAACAGTACAGCCTTTTTCCCCCTCAGGATTTCATTTATGAATGAACCTATGATAGACTTTTAATATGCAAATCTTAAAGTAAAGCCAGCCTAATCAAATTTATACCTAAGACAGCAAATACTGCTTTTTTTTTAAAAATACGTTCAGCAGAAACTGATTTTATTTGGGAAATGTAAGATATTTGTTTTTGGGGGAAAAAAGGATTACTGATAAACATTATTATTCTGACACGTGCAGTACCTCTTCACTCTTTAGTGTCCCAGAGTAAGTGCTACATTTCCAGGAGAGCGCTCGTGACCCAGTGGGCTCAGTCCAGGTGTAGTACACAGCTTTCCCAGCCTCCAGCTCCTCATGCTCCGCCTTTTTCTGAGAGCTGCATGTACACAAACCCACCAAGACAGACACATGCCGTATGTATCAGCAACATGAGTTAAAGCTACCAAAAATGAAACAAAGCAAAACAATTATTGACTTTGAAAATACAACAGAGCCCCTCCACCACAATCAAGGACCATGCCAGCAATCATTTTCTCTGAGTTGTCTCTCAGCCTGCAGCAGCAATTTTCATCAAAAGACAGAAATATGTCACCCAGAGGTCCCCAAATTCCTGGAAATAAAAGGCTCAAATATGCACGTTCACATATTAGTGAGGATTCTGAAACAAATATTCAATGGATCATAAAATGAAGACTGAAGGAAGAAGTGGCGAAGCTGGAATCTACAAAAGGGTATAAAAAGCACTAGTCGACAGCACTACAGGAAGAAGCAGGTGGTGTGATTCCTTTGGAGGAATCCCATCCAGTCAGCAGCATTCACATTTTTCTATAAGATCATAACACAGATGAAAGCAACACTGAGTAAATGGCTTAAGATTTGTATTCTGCTCCTTTAGGTCTGTGTAAATTTCCGGTAGATCAGTAAAAAAAAAAAACTGGGTAATGGTGTAGGTCTTTTATAAATAGAAAACTGAAACTGTGACAGTCAGTGGCATTATGTTATGTACAGTGGAACCCCGACTTACGAATACCCCGTTCCACGAAAAATTCAAGTTACGAAGGCACTGAACGGCAATATTTCTGCCCGTGTTACAAAATCCGCTGGCTGATTGGCTGAGCCTACAATGCCCACAATGCCTTCCGAATCATGTGACAACCCCTTGGCTTCTGTACTTGAGCTTCGCTGTTCCACTGGAATGACGTATTGTTGTTCTAGTTAGCAATTAGCCTATCGTTCAGCATCGCCTCACTCAAAAGGCGCAATGGGTGCTTCGACTTACGAAAATTTTTGACTTACGACTTACCCTTGGGAACGAATTAATTTCGTAAGTCGGGGTTCCACTGTACTTAAAAAACAGAGTTTGAATATGGCAGAAGTAGGCCATGATATACACTAAAAGGAAATATTGAAAGTACAGTGATTCCTAAATACAACTAATATAACTTTAGTTAAGGGAGCAGAGTACAGAGGCAAACTAGAATCAGAGCTCAAAGGATCTTTTTTATACTTCGGTTTATCTACACTCGTCCATCTGACCACACTCTGCACTCAAATGAACCATTAATGTAACATCGAGAACAAACCATGATTAGCTGCTGCATCGTTTGCATATTTAGTTAACTCTGGTTAATGATTGGAGACATCTTCGTGATATACTTGATCCTTCCTCTTGGCTTCGCCCACATTCCCTCTTTCATTTTTTTATATACCCACTGTTTTACTTACTTATGTGAATTGTATAAGAGACGCTATAAAGAAATTTGAAGTCCCACACCTACAAAACTGTGGTTTCTATAGGTCTCGAAATCTGCTGCCAGAGATCAGACACCTAAATATTTTTGGAACATCAGGTATTCATCATTCTATGTTAACCTGAGCTACGCTCCTACAAGTCAACATGCAAAGAGCCACGGTACCAGATAATGAGTCCGAAATTTTTCAAAGACCTAGCTCAATTATTTTTCTAGACGATGGCATTTTAAATCTAGCCTTCAAAAAATGATGTTAGAAAAATGTCTAAAAACACCCCTACCTTCTTCTATTTTTTTAACTAATGACAGACTTGAGGTTTTGCTAAACTCTTTCCACTGGATTTTTTTAGGCAAAGCTTAGATGATCCTGTGGGAGCTAATATGAAACCACCCATGCGTTACTCATAGTGCAGTTTAAATAACCAAATGTACTGATGTGTGTTTAAATTGTTTTTCTTTTACCTTTGTCAAAGTTTACTAGACTGATTACTTCCTATAGGAAATAACATTTCTCTGGTGATGACAATGTAACTACACTGATGGTTCTCTTTTGTAACTCCTGTTCCTCATTTCTATCTTTATTTTGAGTTCAGAGTTTGTCAGAGGAGTTTCCCTTTTTCATATTTTCTACCTGTCCTCCTCCACTGAGAAGGAGAGGTCAAGTATCTCGTCAGCCACCCACGAGGATTCTGTCCGGACACTGCATGACCCACAACACACAAACAAACTGCTATCAGCAAAAATAATCACAGGCAAGTATTATTAACTTAACTGTTTGAGGCAACTGGAACAGAAGAACAATATTGTTACTCAACAAATATGCAAAGACACATGTCAATAAAACATGGAAATGGAAATGTTTTGCGTGACGAAACCTGTAAAATTAATGGCTGCTGTTCATAAAACGGATAAAAACAAGACACAGAAATAACTAGAACACTAAGAAAAGGTTTTATAAGTACATTTGCCACAAAAATATCCTACTTCTGGATAGAGCACCTAATATTAGGGTGACTGTGGCACACACAAAAAATCTAACTGAAAAGAAACATTTTGCATTTTGAAAGTATTTCAAAAACACAGTTACAGACAACACCAAAGATCTACACTAATGCTAACAAACAGTATGACAGAATATTTTTTTTTAAAAACACTTTAACTAAACACTGAAAGTCCCTAGGAAACAGAATTTCATAAAAACAGTTTAAACCTCAGTGACAGGGGCCTAGAGGCCAGTTTGCAACCCTCTGGCAACCCCTAGTTGCTAAGGACAACCGGTTGACAAATGGTTGATGGAGGTTTTTGGCTGTAGCTGAGTGAAATCAGTTGCAAAGATAGTGCTCAACAAATACCCACGTTGTGATTGCTTTGTTCACTAGTAAGCTGTTATGGTTGCAAATGGTCTGAATGGAAAACACCTTTTAACTGTGCCCCTTGGTTCTCTCACCTCTGATGGAACTGAAGAGTCTGATTTTTAGTGTGGTTGATGATGAGGAAAGGGGCTGCGCCATCATGGTAGTCAGAAAATTGAATAGTGGCCGAGTGTTCCGACAGATTCATGTCTACTATAATCCCACCCGCCTACACAAAAGAAACAAGCAACAGTCTGAAAGCCGTAATACAAAAGGCATGTGTGTGAAAATCATGTTAATCACCTCAATTACACATTATGTAAAAAAACAAACAAACAAACAAACAAAAACAAACTTATATGCACACACAAATATTATTAACTATTTGCATTTCTGCTTACTTTGTTGTCCAGATGTAGCAATAAGCAGTTCTCTGGTCGTTTGAAGTCGATAGTCACTGGAGGCGATAAGGAAGCTTCTACTTTAATTTTAAGCTTCTTAGTGTCACTCTCAGGCCAGAAAGGGATGGCTGACTAAATGTGAGGGGAAAAAAACAATATGCTAAATGCTTCTTGTCAGATTATCAGTAGGTAAATACATTTTAAAACTTTATCAAGACATGATCTTTAAATAAAGCATTTTTATGCACAAGAAACCTTTAGTCACATTAAATTTATAGAAATCAATAAGCACGCATGTTCAGTTGTTACATCACACCTATTTATAAAGTTAAATGTAAGAATACCCAGGATCTTGTGTCTATGATATACTCAAACCAAAACCAAGACCTTAACCTGCATTGTTCAAAAAGAGAAAAATCTGAACAGGCTCTGACCTCTTCTGGTTTTGCCTCAGTCCAAGTTTCTTGCCCGTCTTCGCATATGAACACACTGTGCTTAGTTCTGTTGACCAGCATGTAGAAGGGCACAAAGGTCACAATGCGGGTCAGACTGAAACTGCTTGCATCGATCTTCACACCGACCTGAAATAAGACAGAGAATAAGACAGACATATTACATGAATACAAAAAAAGTACATATCCAATACACCTGCCTCTTTGGATCCTCTGCCTCCATCTCACCCTATCCCTCATCTACTTTCCCTCTCAACATTTTCACCATTCCACCTGCCTTCCTCTCATCCACACAAATGAATTTGGTCTTTCTCCCACTGACTATCATTCCTCTTCTCTCCATAGCATGCTTCCACCTCTTCCCTACTCTCATTGTAGATCAAAATGCCATCTGCAAACATCACAGTCCACGCCAACTCCTGCCTGACCTCATCTGTCAACCTGTCCATCTCCAGTGCAAACAAGAAGCGGCTCAGAGCCAATCCCTGACTATCCCACTTTTTCTTCGCCAACCTCTTCCTTTACATATTTTTTTCACATTTTTATATAAAGAGATAAAATTTCAAATCTTACCAGATAATCTTTGAATCTGCCTTTGCATTTCACATCCCCGTGGCTCCCAACTGTGTCCAGAGAGAATTCATCAGATAGTTCACTTTCTGAGATCATAAGACGAACCTGGGGGAGGAAATAATTTAATCTAATAAATGTACTGAACCACTGGGACCACTGTGAACAATAATCAAACATGTTTCTTTTAAAGAGCTTTCAGTAAGACTGACTTAAAATAAATACCTTATTGTTTCGCAAGAAGTACCGAGGCTTGAATGAAAAGAGCAACGGCATCTTGTAGTCCATGGGATGTTTGCGGTGAATGTCATCAGCCTTGTACTGCAACAACCTGTCCGTCTTATTTATCATCCAGTACGGTGAATGGATAGCAACCACCATCTGCCCCAGATCATATTTAACATGAACTGCTATATCCAGCTCAGCCCTCTTCCTCTCCACTGCATCTCCATCTTCGTCTGCATCCTCTCTTAGAGACTTGAACACAATGAAGGTGATCTCTTCCTGATCACTGTTGAGTCTGTACAAGACAATAATTGTTTGTTTGTATCAGAAATGTGAAACAATTTAATGGAGACTGCATGTCTCTCCTATAAATATAACTATGCATCAGCATTTTTTTGTCATGTTATTTAAGATCAACATACAATAAATAGAAAAAATGTGTCAATAACAAAAAAAGAGATTAAGTCACACCTATATACAGAAGACCAATCCTGAGCCAAGTACTCAATCAAGCGAAGATCAAGACTTGACTGGTTGATGACTCCAGTGTGAAGCTGAGCAGAGTGACCAGGGTCCAAAGTAGCCTCAGGTGCAGAGATTCCACTGTTCTGTTGAGCAACAGGATGAAGAAAACAAAAGGTGTCTCTGCATTTGAAACTTCTACCTTGCTGCTTTCAGTTCATGCCAACTTGTAAAGAAAATACAATGGTTGGGAAAAAAAAAGTCCCCAGTTACTTAAATTAAGATAACAGAGTTACATATTACACATTTTTGCTATATTTTTTTCAAGTATAAAATGAGACATTTTAAATATCTAAATGTGAGTGAATTTTCTTATCTTTCAGTTAAAATTTCTAAACAGAAATGCCAGCATTGGACAAAACTAGGTTTATTAACTATTGCTTGTTTTTTGGGTTTTTTTGCTGCATAGAGTCAACAGATTTTTTTCCTATTTTGGATTAATGGAATGAATATATTTACTTCAAGTTACCATGTAGGAAGCTGAAAATGTCATATATAACTAGTCTTCTGCAGCTTAATGTTACAGAAGTCTACAAATGAGGTGTTAAATACACACTAGATATTTGCTGTTGTACACAGTGGTCCCAGTGGTTCAGTACCTTAATGCAGTGGTTCCCAAACTTTTTTTGCTAGGCCCCCCCTTGTTTTACAAGAAAAATGTTCGCGTAAACGGCCTTTCGAATCACCGAAAACTGAGATTTTTTTAAAACTCCTTTTTTGCGTTTACGTGTGGACGAGGAATACAGAGTTCGTCATGCAACGTCAAAGGTATGTGCCTTTATTCACGTCACGCTGTGCGCGACATTATTGTTTACATGAGATGAATAGCAGAATGGCAGATAGAGACAAAATACTGTTAATCTGACAATCTGCAGGTTTTACACGCTTACATACACACGCAGTTACTGTCCCTCCATTTAGAAAGGCAGAGGCGTCACGGTGTAATTATTTTACGTGTAGTTTTATTTTATGTGTTTTAATATTCAACATTGCTATCAATACATTTTTCCAAAAATGCCTCTCTGTGCAAAATGGGTTTAAAAACATAAACAGCTGTGGGATACTGTTTGTCCGTGATTTGAACCGGGGAATAAATCCTGGCCGGATCAGCCTGATGTTATTTGTATCCCTCAGTAACTTTACTGCATAAAGAGCTAACATCTCCAAAATGCCAGGAGTAGTTAGTCATTATGAGAAGTGTTTGTGAACTAAAAATCAAGAATGTGGGATTCTGTTTGTCCATGATTTAAACAGCCCAGCGCTGCTCCTGACGCAGGGAAAACCAATTCTGCAGGTGAGACCTACCTCGGCACTTATGCAGGTGAAACCAAAGGGAAGATATGCTTCACCATATTTTCTAGTCTTTGGCTTAGAATGAAGTTGGTTTGGAAACATATTCAGCTATGCTTCATTTCCTGCTTTGCGTTTGTGTAGGCGCCCCATACCGCGCCCCCCCTGCAATGGCTCTGCGCCCCCCCTAAGGGGCGGGCCCCACACTTTGGGAAGGTCTGCCTTAATGTTTAAACAGTTACAAAATTAAGTAAAGTCATGCAGAGCAATCCCTGCTTTAAAAAAAACTAATGATAAAAGTACAAACATCCAATACATAAAGCAGTATTATCCACATATGCCTAAGTAATGTGAATGTGCTGGTCTCTGACTGAGGTCCTATGGTAGCATTACATAACAAAGAACACTTCCCACTTTTAAACAGAGCAAATACAGCTGTAAAATACACACACTATTATTTTATTGAACATTTACTCACATAAACCCACTTTGTATGTTACTTTTCAACGTTTAATGGACTAGCTGAGTACAGATTATTACATGCATCCTACCTTTAGACTGTAGGTGATGGTGTAAGGCAGAAGGTTGCGTAGCAGGATGGAAGGCCACAAGTGAAGCACGAAGGGCACGTCAAAATTCTCCCCAACATCTCCGGTCTCTTTGCACGTCACTGCATCTTTTAATGGCACAATGTTGATGGTCATCACACCACCTTGGTTTCCACGGCGACGGCAGATTTGCTGTAGGCGTTTCTCAGGCTCCAGGTTGTTAACGTCCTCGTAACTGAAGCCTTCTGAGCAATCATACTGCTCACCCTGACTATCATCTGTGCTCTCTATTACTGGCTGAAGGCTCAGCTCAGACCTGTTTGGAGGGTAAGGGCAGTAAAGGTTAGAGGTTATTGTTTTTTGTTGTTGAACAGAAAAAGAAAAGATCTGAAAACATAAAACAGAGAGTGAGTGAGTTAAGTTGTGTGCGTAAATACGTGGGCCAATTTAAGCATTTGCTCCTACCTATACGAGTCCAGAGGCACACAGAACTCCTCGGCAGGGAGGGCAGTACCCAGAAGGGTTGGTCCTTCAAAAACGTTGAATGGTATTGAGAAATGATTGATGAGCTGCGTAGTAAAAAACAAAAACAAATTACTGGTTACTGACACTTGAACTTAATCTGAGAGATCTATCTGGGCATATTGGCTTATATAATAAAAGCTACTTATTGGGAGTTCCCACAATGGGTAGCTTCCTAGGCTTAATTTAGGAGATTTCTAAACTGAATATGCTTCCTGATGCAACCCCAAAGACATTTGTGTCTCCTCCCGGGATTGAAAAGAGGATCTTTCGCTTGATAGTGAAAAACTAAGAGACAAAGACTTCACTGCGGAGCCACTAAATTGTTCAAAAATGCCATAAATTACATTTAATGATTAAATAAAGGATAGTTGAGTGTCTGGAACATTGATCTCTGAGGGTGCAATTCTAAACTCTAACACAATATATGCCACTCCCTTCAGAGAGCAGTACAGGGTCTAAAAGAAAGGAGTGGGGGGGCCCTTAATGCAACTAAATAATAATAAGGTTCTTTGGCCTTCAAAGCAGAGTTTCAAAGTCATTTCTGACATTGGTAAAAGGACAGTAAGAGGAAGAGACAGACCAAAAAAAAAATCAAAATCACTGAACTTGACTCTCTCTCTCATATTATATATATATATATACATACATATACACATATACATATACACATATACACATATACATATATAAATTTCAAATGTGAAATGTTGCCCACACAGCCATCTCCAGGGTTTACAGATGAGGTGTGGAAAAGAAAGTTCCCTGGGCAAAGGTGCCTTGTTGATGTCAGAGGTCAGAGGAGAATGGTCAGACTGCTTCAAGGCAACAGTAGCTCAGACAACTTGATACAGGTAAGATATGCAAACAGCATCTCTAAATGCAGCCACGCAGAACCTTGAAGCAGATGGGCCACAGCACCAGAAGACCATACTGGGTGCAGGTTCCAGCAGGATAATGTGCCATGTCCAAAGTTCAAATAATCTCAAACAATATGGACCAAAATTTTAGAGGACTATTTCGAGCACCTTGGTGAATCTGTTCCAATATTAAGGCATTTATGAAGCGAAACAGAGGGACCAACCTGGTACTAGCATGGTGTACCTAATAAAATGTTTATTAACATGGATATCAGCAGCAGCTACCCCCAAACAAAAAGCTGGAGTGCATTTTGAAAAGAAAGTTTTTTTAAATGACTTTTATATAAAAAGGTAACTTTAATTACACCGAGTTTGTAATTAATGTAATTTGAGAGACCGCTCACTGTAATTACACGGGGTGATATACACATGATGGGAATGATCATCCTACATACCTGGAAAGGAGAGCGGATCTTGATGTACTTGCTGCCTTCTACAGAGGAAATCTGACAGACCAGGAAACGAGTGACTCCTGAGTTGTTGTGCATTACACTGTACATTCCACGGCCCACTTTGATCAAAGGGATCACACTGGCTGAGGTGTGACCATCTGGAGCTGGAAAAAGAAAGAAAATAGAACGTACAGGCTCTTTCTGACTGGCATGAAGTTTAAAATTTGGTGACTGACAACAACAACAACAACAATAACAAACACCGTCAGATATACTCTTAGAGAATAGAGCACAAGCTAATTAGAAAATTTAAAGAAAACACATAAAACATATATGTTTATGTTTTATCTTTGTGTAATTGGAGATAACTGTAGATATATCATAGCTGTCTGTTTTCAGCATAACCGTGATAGTAAAGTATAACTCACTAGGCTGTATGTAATAGTCTTTTCCACTCAAAGAGGTCATTGCTGAGAAATGATCAGTGTCTGTTGTGGTTGAATAGTCCATTCCGAGGGATTCGCCATTCTGCAGCTTCACAGTGTTAGCGATACTCTGCTGTCCAACAGGACAAAACATCTCACTGTAGCGCACAGAAACTGGTAGGCCAAGACGGTTTTTGACTACAAATGGAGCTTCATCCTTTTGAAAACACTCTGCTGTCTGTTTGGCAGCTTCAGCAAATGCCTGGAGAAGGACAAAAACATGCATATCACACATCGATACACACCTCTAGACAGGTATTTTCTGTCAAGCCTTTGAAAGACTTCTTACAGTGCCCAGGTTACTCAGCATAGCCAGTCCACATTTGGAAAGTGTGATGTTGAGCTGATCTTTACTGTCGATGACAATGACTGTCTTGTAGTCTGGGATATTGGAATCCACTTCATCTGACATTTCTGTGTACTTCACAGGTTTCTTTTTCATCTGGTTAGAGGACAGTAAAGTATTAGACACACCATGTGTATTTTTAAGCATTATTTTTAAGAATGCTATATGCATGCAGAATGCAAGTATACATGAGTACCTTCAGTTTCAGCACCCATGGTCTGAAACCATCTCTTGTCTCATCTTCTAAGGGCTCCAGCAGTGGCTCCCACACTCCCATCACTTCATTATAATAGTGAACCTAAAAATAAAATGCATTACTAAATAGAAAAAAATTCTGAACAGCAGACAATTTATTAAAAGAACCACATGTCTATTGGTTTGTGTTACCTCTAGGGTAAGCTGACTGTATAAGTTAATGAGCGTGGACCAGTTCTCCACATCTCCCTTGAAGGAGGACTTTGCCAGAAGCATGGGGATGGTGCGATGTCCCACTCCAGCCTCCAGAGTCACACAGATTGATCTGATGTTCACCTGCAATTATTTTGCAAATTCAAATCATAAGTTATTATATGGCAGCATACAGTCAGCTTTACCATATTATAATTTCAGCCAAAATGCTAATAATTACCTTTAGGGACTCTCCCTGTGGTATTAAGCAGGTCACTAATTTGGTGTCTTCATCGTCATCTTCTTCTAGGAACCAGAGTTTGAGCTCCTTCCAACTCTGCTTATCCCACAGGTTCACAGCAACAGGGCTGTCCAGCTTCTCAGGGGTCTCTGCTGTTGGAGTGAGTGCTGACTGGATAGTAATCACGGTGTTGATTATGACTGGAGATACCTGTGCATGAGTCAGACACATGGGAGATAAAACTTAAGGTTACTTGCATAAGCCTGGCTCAAACAAGACGTGGCAAGCAGCAACAGCAGCCAAGTCAATCAGGTCCTACAGGAATGACAAATCACACCAAACACATTGCTGTATGGCTAAGTGGCATGACATTGTGGCCTATGATGAAGACTTGGGTTCAGGATTAGGTGGAAAAAACAAAACAAAAAAAACAAAAAAAAACCCCAGCTTGCGCCAGTGATGGAGAAGTTAGCTAAACACTCCTGTCTATTGAGAATTAAGCTAGCTAGCCCATACTGGATGTTGAGACATGTTGCTACGCCAAGATATTTAACTAATGACTGCGTAGTAGGGCAAGCTACTTAAAGTTAAGGGTTTCTGCCCGACAGAAATAAATTTGTTGCTTTTAAAATTTGCTTTCATTTGATACAATTTTTATCAACACGTGCAGATACAGTCCTGTTAGAGCAACAATAATATGCCCCCTTATTATATCCATTACAAGGAAACAAAAGTCTGAAACGTTTTTTTTTATCAAAAAACTGTATTTCCAAGGTAACACACTGCTGTAACCAGATGTAGGGATTGACTTTCTGTCTCATTTAATTAAGCATGCATACAAGGCAGTGGTTTAACCCCAAAAAGTTCAAATTTTTAAAAAAAGGCTTTCATTTGCTAACAACAAAGAAGCTGGAACTGCAACAAAAACACAATCATTTCAATTTGAAGAACAAAATATGCGGCCACATGTAATATTAACAAAACAAATACCTTAAGTGAGAGAGCATTGATGGTGACCTCCATAGCCTGAGGGGAGGTTGGAGACTGAGTACTTTCGAAGTACACCTGACATGGCTGAAGCACTGTAGTCACATTGTTTCTCCTCTTTTGTCTTAAGAATGGACAGGCAACAACCTACAACAAAAGTGATCAGTTTAAAAAAAAACCCCAACCTAATCATATTTAATTTTAAATATATGTGTTAAGGAATATTAACATTTTCCTCTGGATACATAATTTTGAATTCTTTGAACATGCAATTCTGACTACCACAATACATTCCAAATATAAACCTTGAGGTCCTTGATAACAGCAGTCGTCCGTGATCCTTCAGCACCATTTTTCATTACGAGTTCACAATATGTGGTCATCACCAGAGCTGGGGCGTCATCACGAGTCAGGTCAGCTACAAATACAATCTCTGGGTTTCGCACCACAACATTCATTTCAGTCTTTGTTACCGTGGCTGTAGCTGTAGCTGGGAGGCACAGAGAGCATTAGAGTAAAACTTCATGTTAAATAATTAGAATACGCCAGTTTAACTTGATAATCACAAAACTCATAATCTAGACTCACTATATAAATGTATATAAAATCTATATTATCTTAAAGCATCTATAAAATGTTGTATTGTAATGAAATAGTCAAAAATGAAAGTTTTATAAACATAAGGCAAAACAAAGATGGGAATAATTTGGCAGTTTAAGCTTGTCGATTAAGAGAACTGACATGATTTCGGTTAACTAGATTAAAACATTAAAACTGATAAAGTCAACTCACCAGACTCTTTAGATGTGACCGATGAGTTAATGTTCTTCTTATCGCCAGCACCAGTACTGTTCTTGGGTTGTGGCACTTGGGCAAAACCCTGCTGGGTGGCCTTAAGGAAGATATCGGCCACCGTGAGCAGAAATTCCATGCTTGCACATAGATACACATCCTGCACCACTGTATCTAAAGTGGTGCCTTCACGGGTTTGACGATAGCTCACTTCCACCATGTTGTTCTGTTCTGCACCAGGACACATTGCCATCATCCTAGAGAAAAACAAAATAGGACTATGAGAAAAAAAAAGAGTGAACACAATAAAATAATTTACTTTACACTGATCCGTCAAGACATGGCTTTTTTGTGTGTGTCACTAGCTTTATAAGTGGTAGCCGTACCTTGGGGTGATACTTTTGGCTTTTGGCCTCTTGTCGTCTAGAAGGCATTCAGCAAGTTGTACTGAGGCCTTCATGGAGCTGTCGGAGTACATGTGGACAGAGGTGGAGATGGTGCCCAGAGTAAATTCTGCTAGCTTCAGCTGCTCATCATGTGGGTCTGACGGCTCATGTTGTGGGTGTGACTGGTCATGATGTGGACCTGACAGCTCACGTTGTGGTTCTAACTGCTATTAAAAACAGAAATTACACAGACTTTCTTTACTAAACGTGCCTCACAAAATACAGACTGACAAGTCTAATTCTATGATGTAGTTATGACTTGTGTATGTTTGTACATATGTAACAGACTTGGCATTACCTTATCCTCATTGGAGCTGTACAGAACCACAGTCAGTGAGTCAAACTTGAAGTTTAATTTCAGCGTGTTCTTTCTCAGCTTGCTGTTTTTCTGTGTCTCTACAACAGCAGCTGTCACCACTGTGTTACCTATTAACAGCATAATCAGAGCGCAGAGTTCAGATTAAAAGACAAGCTACTGGATTTTAGTCAGAATTGTGCACTAATTAAGGAGAACATGTTTCAGATTTCATTAGCTACATAGTTTTGTGTAAGTATGCCCTGTCAAACAACAACTCATCTGTTTTTTGTTTTCTGTTGGGTTTTTTTGGTAAAAAGTTATCTGACCAGGCTGTTAAATCATATGTCTATATTTAAAGCTCTACCAAACACACATAACCATATCAAACATAACCATATACAACAACAACAACTTACTGCTGGGTGGTCCAGTGGTGCCAGACTCCTGGGAGTCTTTGTTGGATACAGAGTCAGAGGACGGGTCAGTGGCAGGCAGAGCAGCTGGAGGTGGACCAGCATCAGACTTCTCTGACAGGTTCTCATTCAGAGTCCTCAGGACAATGATCATGTCATTCTGGCATAGGAGCAGCTGTTGGGAACATAGAGAGATGATTTTGATAAAACAATTTTTAATTCTCAATATATGCCTCTACACAATCGTGGGATTAAAAATCAAAAAACAAACAAACAGGTAAGAAATATGAATATATATACTTACACTCATGGGCTTTAGATGGACCCCAATATCTATCTCAGGTATTTCGTGGTACCAGCTGGAAGATAGATTTCTACGGATTTCCAAGTCTAGGCTCACTGGCTTCAGCAGTTGGATCTCTTCTTCAAAACGTTCATTTTTAAATTTGGCTCTGAAAGGAACAAAAACATAGATTTACAAAGGTCTGTCGGAATACTGCAAATTCTAATCAATCACAAACACAAGCATGCATATTTTTTAAATAATACCTCCCACAGAAACTGACCTGAACATCTTAAGGTCAGTCAGTCTCACAGTCATTATATCCACAACAGGTGGGATGCTGGCATCTGATTTACAGGGTTGCTTGGCAAAACGATTTTTGATAGAAAGCAGACCAAGGTCAGCTACAATGCCATTTGATGAAGAGGAGGACTGGGGGAGGAAGATGATGGGTGCATTGAAGTGGACATCAAGAGCGATCCGAGTGGTCCGTTCAGCCAGTTCTTTCACGCCTGATGCTGCTTTTTCTGCAGCCTGAACTGTTACCTCAGTTAGTGCCTCTTTAGCCTCCTGGAAGTTATTGACAAACTCCTGTAAGGAGATGAGGTGGGGAAAAATATTTTTGGAGAAAAATTAATAAGATCAAGTTGGAATGCAGAAATATACAGAGGTAACGTAAATAATTATATTTATAATTATAATTTTATTATTACCTTATCTAATAAATGAAAACACCACTTCAGTTTTACATGTGATAAAAATTGATAAGAGCAACAGATTAATTCTGCCCAGAAATGTGATTCTTACCAGTATAGATGAGAGAAACTTGTTGAGGAAGATGACCTGAATGCAGCCCACACTTAGTGTAACAGTAGTGTCAACGTTAGACATGTCCAGATAGGCATCTCCTTCAGTCGCATCTGTATAGTTTACCATGTGGAAGTGAAACACTTCCTTATCTGCTATGGACACAGCCTAGAAAAAACAGAGTGGCACAGAAAAAGTTGTTATTCAGATTTGCCTGTGCCACATGATCAGAAAGTGACACAAAACAAAAACATAACAAATGAAGACCAGAAACATCAATGCGGGAAACAATGACCATTTCTTTTGTGTGTGTTTTTTTAAGTACAATGGTAAACATTCATAAGCACTAGCAGTCGGTACCTTTTTGTAAAAAGCTTCTTTGTTACAGTCCAGAATCACAATGTTCTTCAATTTGGCCGAAACCTCCATCCCCTTCTTCCTCATCAGGACCTCGGAAACCAGACCTAGACAATTACGAAAGCCCCAAGTTGTACAATGAATTGAAGATTTGACTAGAAAAAGTTCATTAGAAAACTCTATATACAGCAGAGTATAGCAGAAATAATAAACAATTAATAAATCCTATTGAAAGCACTGCCAGAGTACCTAGTACACAGAAAACTCTTTCTTTCATACCTTCAATACTGATCTCTGAGATCCTGGCCTTCTGTCCTCGAATGAAAACTTTAAGGCAGCGGAGATCAGTTTTGATATGCAGATTAACCACATCTGCAAATTTTGACCTTTTTGAAGCTGGGGGAAAAAGGTGAAGGACAAGAAATAAAGACATTACCTGTGAACAGCTGCAAAAAAAGGAAATGTATTTCCAGTGTAACATTTAACCTTTGATACTGCTCTGAAAATCTGTTTCATTAACTGTGAAATATCTGCTCTAGTAGTACAATGTTCTCATAAATGGTGAGACAATAACAGCGTGCAGATAATATCAGTTACGTTTTTTCTTGGTTACAGCAGTTTCCTCCTTTTTCTCTTCCTCCTTCTCTGCTTCAGCATCGTCTTCCTCAGGGATAGTGGGAAGCTCCTCCTGCTGTCCTTCCTTCTTATTAGATTCAGGAAGGAGCTTACTGAGGAAGTTCATGGTATTGAGGAGAGCCTCCGTATGGAGGTGAACATCCAGTGATGAAAAGGTCACCTGATGAAGAAAATTAACCTTTTTGTCTGAAATGATATTTTGATTCTTCTACCCATTATTAATAATTACTGTAGAAGAAACACTGCTGTTAACTGTGGCCTTTTTCATCATCTCTCAGCATGCCCTAAATAACATCATGCTATAAATAACAAAATGGGAACATTAAGTAAATAAAATAAATATTATTGCTAGGTTATTAACATTTCCCTCACCTTGATGAGCTGCTCAGTGTTATTATATTGAGACTTGAAGTCGGGACCATTCTTGTCAGCCTAGAAAAATTCATCCAATCTTTAAAATTAAGGTGATTTTCCACAGTTTTAAAATATTTATAGAAAATATTCTGAAATGTTTTCACGTAACATATCCCATATTACTTTGATATACTCCAGAGTGAGCAGGTCGACTTCTTTGTTGTCCAGTGTAGTGATCAGCTGTACTTGCTTGTCTTCAGAATCTGTGCAAGGAAAAAACAAAACATGCCTAATAAAAAATTAAGCAAAGACTGCCCTGATGATTTGCACATTTTTATTAGGATAACTGTAATCATCAAATGTTTAACAAAAATTAAGGCGTTGCTGGTATCTACTGACCCATGTATTCAGGACACTTGAGGCAGATCTCTCGCAAGTAGGTATTAGACGTCATGTCAAAGGTGCGCAGCTTCAGCTCAGTGCCCAGACCCTCTATATCTAAGTGGAGCACTGTAACCTCCATACTTCCAGACAAACGACAGAGCTGAACAGAAAACTGGACAAAGAAGACAGAGAGACGATGGAAAAATGGGAAAGATGATGATAAAGGTGGTCACAAAAATAAAAGGAGGTGGAGAAATTTAACTGAGGAATGCTAAAGAGAAAAGGCAGAGTTTGAATTTTCTTTTTCTTTTTATCTCACACAGAAATAACTAAAATGACTGATAACAAGGTTAAATAAAAATAATTCTTACAGAATTTAATAACTATGTTTAATTGTGCAGAAAGGGAAAAAAATATTTTTGTACCTCACTGATCTCAAATGTCATAAAGAAGTCAGTCATGTTCTTTTGTGCGTCTTCCTTGATGAGACTTTTTCTTTTGCTTGCATCGACATAGCGCAGCGGCATGGGATTGTCTGGAAAAAATGGTTTCTCCCCGATGGGAGAGCTGGGCGCATCATAGAACAGATCCTCCTCTGACCCTGGGATATAATTAAAAAAGAAACACAATCTGTGGTAGGAATACACACAGGATTTTTAAAGATATTTAGCAGTAGGACCAAAACAAAACTGTGTCTTACCTAATGAGGTGATGCTGATGGTCTCACATGACTCAAAAATGAGAGAAGAGCGTTGATCAAAGTTCAGAGGTTTTCTGGGAGTGAGATGAGGGGTGAAAGACTGCCTAGGCTAAAAAAAAAAAAAAGAAAATAAATAAAAACAGTTGTATTAACAGTGTTAGTAATAAAATCTCTTTACTTTTACTAGTCCGGCAATTCCACCTCAATATTCAACTATTTGTATATTCATTCAATGCAAAACCCTCAAGCCTTCAAATTTGAGATGTTTTTCTTTTGTTTGCTTGTTTTGCTTTTTTTTTTTTTTTAAATTGGGGAAAAAATGAACCATCTCAGCTGAGGCTTCCTTCTCATTAATAGCAGTGATCATCATAATTCAGTTCACCCAACTGTTGCCAAATTTTAGTGAAATCCAGAGAGGACCATCTCCATAACCCTCTGATCTTACCTTTGGAGTTGATGATGGAGCATTGCCACGTGTAGCAGGTTTGCTTTCAGGCAGCGGGATACTGTCCACCAGCTCCAGAACACTTCGAAGTTTTACATCAGAAATACGAAGAGACAACAGAGGAAGCTCTCCAGACATCTTATATCTATAAAACACATACACAAAGATGCAAACAAAACTTACAACCTGAAACTTAAGCTTACGTAATACTCTTAGCTCTGGTCCTTACAAGATAAATATTTTAAGTTGTGTATCTGAACCCGCACTATATTTATGAATATTTACTAGTGTTAGAATCCGTCTTCAATACTGCACTTTTTTTTCCTGTCTTTTCTCTTTTCTTTTTTTTTACAGTGAAACTTTTCAGGGGGGAGGGGGGGAAAGAAAAGTATTAATTTCTCCAAAGAAAAGGGTTAAGAGTAAGTTCAGATTTTCGTACAAAGATTTCATTTAACCATCAGTTGACTGTCAACCAGAAACATACTTACTTTGGCATGCGGGAGTCTTTGTTGATCATTGCCCTGCTAAAAACCACCTTTAGATCCACTGGCTCTAGGATGTGGAGGGGTGACTGTTTCTGTTTGCGGGCCTTTTTCCAGTTACCATCTATCACATAAAGATAAAGTTTTATTATTATTTGTTTTTACTGAGTCCAAACAGAGGCAGAGTAAAAACAAGAAATACAGTGGGGCAAAAAAGTATTTAGTCAGCCACCGATTGTGCAAGTTCCCCCACCTAAAATGATGACAGAGGTCAGTAATTTGCACCAGAG